CCAACATGTTGTTAGCGTCCAAGTTTATTGCATTGTGGTCTGAGAATGTGGCCTGTGTTACTTTGGCTTTTAAAATTCTACGGAGATTTGTTTTTGTGCTGTAATACATGGGCAATTTGTGAATGTTTATGTATGTCTGAAAAGAACGTGTATTCCCTTATTTATTTATGTATCAGGAACTCTACTAATTGCTCCATATATATTAGCTTCTTCTTTAGCCCATTTTACAGATGAGAAAAATAAGTTAGAGAGTTTGGGTAACTTCCTCAAGGTGACCAAAAGGCGACACACTATTGAAACCCAGACATTCTAACCCATTCTGTCTTGGTCTCTCTCTTTCTCTTCCTATGAGATCAGAATTGCTAGTTGCGTCATTCAAACACTCATTTTTTATGCCTCCTTGTGTGGTAATTCTTAGAGAAAGTGTATTGAGGTTTTCTGCCATGATTGTGAATGTGTCAGTTCTTCTAGTATTTCTATCAGTTGTTGCTTTATATGTCTTAGCCGTGCGGTTAATTACATCAAAGCTGGTTTATGTCACATGTTCTTGGTGGACTGTATTCTTAATCCCATGACATGTGGTTAGACAGCCTCTGGTAGCGGAGGGGCTGGCTTTCCCCATTCTTGTCAAGAGACATGGAGGTGCAGGCCCCTCACACAAATGATGCACCCCAGAAGGAATGATGAACTTGCTGTCATGGGACACGACTGTGTGCATGGTCCCTGTCATACTGCCATGACACCCACCTGCTCTAAGCCCCTCCTTCTTGTCTAAGAGTCAGACACAGCCAGTGGAGAACCAGATACTACCCCCACTGTACATATATACACAGTGACCGTTTCCTCTGTCTGCAATGTACTCTTCACCCTGGGTGAACTCCTACATATCCTCTAAGCCCTGACTCAAAGAGCCTGCTTCATGAAGCACTTACTGCCCTCCCCAGGGTGGGCTTTGTGCCACTGTGCCATCCCTAGGGCTGGGCATGCTCCATTATTGCATCTGTTACATGGGATTGCAATTACATTTCCCAGATTTGCTTCCTGCAATACTGAATTTCTGGGCATGCTGTGTGACTTATTTCTCTTCTCAGAGACTGGCACATAACTGGTGCTTTCTCTACCAGTGTTTGCAGAAAGGATCCAGATCGACTATTACTTGTGACGATTTATTCTGGATGGACTAGGACTAGAGAAGTGTATCATGCTTCCTTCTCTCTCACCCTCTTATTTTTACAGTTAGTCCAATGTGGCTTCCTGGTGGGCACTACATTCATAGTTGCCCAGGTTTTTGCTGAACTGTGAGGTCAGCAAGTCCCTGGGGCTGCACACAACCCTGACAGGTGGGAGGCAATGGAAATTGATGTCTTTCCTCAGATCACTACCATGGCTCTGTTTCAAAATAAAACACAAGCAGGGCAGAGGGGGACAGAATATGTCCCACAAGGAGAGAAGATCATGAACCATGGCCGGGGGTGGGAAGTGGTCCCTACACTAGGTTCCTTATAAAAATCTCTCCCTGTCAGCAAAGGCACTCTCCACTTACACAGCTGGGCCTTAGGGAACCCTTTGGGACAAAACAAAAGACTCTTTGGTGAAACCTAGTGGCAGGTCTGTCCTGCCCAGGGACCCTAGCTGAGCCCTGGAGACTCATGAGTGAATTCTGCACCAACAGTTGGAAAACTGTGCCACCTGCTCCAGGCTGGAGGGGGGTGACAGCCCAGAGGCCATGGGACCAGCAGGCCCACCCTCAGCATTCCATACATGATGCCCATAGGCACTGTTACAGGGAGAAATGATCGGAGGGTCTGGGGAGGCAGGCAGGTCCTCCCTCAGTGCCTGTATGTGCTTCTGGGCTTCAGTTTGCTGAACAGGGAGCTGGCACCTGGCTGCATGGTAGCCTGTTCGGGGCTGGGGAATTGGGGTGGCTGCGCGTGGAAGTGGGGAGGGAATGTCACCAGGCCTTAGGGTCACCTCCTGGTGCAAGAGAGGCACTGGGCATCAGTTTCTCCTGAGAGGAGCAAGTTCATCTTGCACTGTGCCGCCTAAACCCCAGGATGAAGCCCTGGCTCTGATCAAAGTCCCAGAAGCCAGAAGGTCAAAGTGGGACTTCTTGAGCTTTGTGGGCCACGCCTGGCCCTGCAAGCATTCCCACGCTCTGCTGAGGAAGGGAGAGGTGGTGGCTGGGGACCATGCTGGTGCTGGACGCCCTCATCTCAGCCCGTGGGCTTCAGGGCAGAGGTGTGCTGCCCGGGGCCTCATGAGCAGGTACCAGAAGCTTGCTCATCACTGCATCACGTTGTGCACCGGTGTTCATGTTCTGTGCCTCCACTGACAGCCAGTGACAAGAACAAGGGCCCAACCAGCTTGGTGAGATCTGACAATGAAACTGACCTTCCATTCCCTGAAAATGCCACGGGCCCCTGGCCACAGACTGGTGTATCTAGCTGAGGGCTTGGCCGTCCTTGAGAACTCTGATACACTTTGTAAAAATCCTAAACACAGTTCTGAAAATCCAAAGGGCTTGCTACCTAGCACTCAAAGAACAGACAGCAGCCCACTCACATCCTCCGGGTGTCAAGGGTCCACTGGGGTAGGCGGGGAGGGGCGGTTCTGCAGCTGCTCAGGACTCTTCTAATGCCTTCCAGGCAAGCTGGCTGTTTACAAATGTGCCCCAAAGTCCACTGTGGCAGTTTTCCCTTGGCTGATGGCTAGTAAAGAGCAAAAGGGATGTATTCTGTTCTGAGGCCCCTTCAGAATCTGAGTGACTTACATTCCCTGCTTTGGTCAATAATTTTGTCCCTGAGGAGAAAAATCCCCCCACAGCACTACAATGTCTATGTGAACAACTTTCAGAGCATGTGCTGGGTGAGGAGGTCCTTCCCAGGCATCAGAGAAGCGGGGAGGGTGGGATGGCTGACGGCACTTCAGAGGGCAGATGGGCCCGCGGCTCTGCAACCCCACACCGGGGTCAAATGGTGGCCCCTTGGCTGGGAACACAGGGTGAGCTCTGTCTCAGCAGAGCTCACAGACATGGTGCTTCACGGAGCAGGAGTGGAATACCATGAGGGCTGGAAGTCACTGAGCAGGCCACTCAGGGGTGGCCAGTTCCACGTCCAACCTTCCCCTGGTCCAGGTGCTCAGCCCACATGACCAGGAGGACAGTGATGCTTGGATGACTGCCATCGTGTCACATCTGCCAGCCTCCTGTGGGCAGCACCCCCTTAAGCTGTGGGCTTGCGTGTGGCACAGGCCCTGGGCCCTGCTTCCCTGATTATCTAATCACCACCAAGGGAGAGGCTGTCCCTCTGTCTGGCGAGCTGCCCCTCACATGCCCACATAAAGGGTGCATGATCCTCTCAGCACAGCCTGTATGCACCGTCCTTGTGTAGCGACTCTCCCAAGCTTCCTGCACAAGCCCTGTAGGGGGATGCCCCTTGCACCCACTGTGTGAGCCTCAGGCGCTCTGAGGCAACTTTTATCAGTGTGGAACTTTTCCTGAATTCATGCAGAAACAATAAATAGCTCTGATTTATACCATGGATTTTTTTCTCCCAGTCCACAAATACCTACTGAGCATATATTATATGCCAAGCTTGCATTAGGCCCTGAGATACAGCAAGCAGACAGGTAGAAATCCCTGCCTGCACACTGTCAGGGCCAAGTGAGGGCAGGTAAACTGGCCAAGTAAGAAAATATAGGAGTCATCTGGCAAGGGAGGTGATGGTGAAGGGGGGTAGGGCAGGGAGGGTCACCCCGAGAAGGCACACCTGAGTGGGCAACTGAAGGAGGTGAGAGGCAGGTTATGGGGCTACCAGGGCAGGACGTCCTGTGCTCCGGGACCAGTCAGGTGGCAGCATGGCAGGAGAGGGCAGAGTGGCGAGGAGGACAAACTGGGGCCAGAGAGAGAGAGACAGGAGTGGGGCTGTGAGGCCAGCTAATGCTGGTGGAATTTGGGGGGTGGGTGCTGAGCAGAGGAATGACAGGGCCTGACCTACATTTGGGAAGGCTCGCTGTGCTGCTGGGTCAAAAACAGACTGCAGGGGCCAGGGCAGAGGCAGGGGTACCAGGGAGGGGTGCCACAATAACCTGGATGGCCAGTGATGGTGCCTGGGCCCAGCTGCTGGTGGAGGTGTAAAAAGTGGTTATGTTCTGATTTGCTGTGGTGATGGAGACGCTGGGTTTGCTGGAGGATTAGACATGTGTGACCTGAGCAGCCGCAAGGGTTGAGCAGCTATTTGCTGAGATGCAGAGGGTTGTGGGAGGAGCAGGTTTGGAAGGGCACTTCTGAGAGTTCAGGAGTCTTGGATAAGGCTGAGATTCCTATTAGGCATCCAGGTAGAGATGGCCTGAAGGTAGCTGAGTATTAAGTCTGGGCTCACAGGAGATAGCTGGGCTGGAGGGAAACATCTAGTGCCATCAGCACAGACTGAATATAAGGCCAGGAGTCTGGGTGAGATCTCTGGGACCGAGTGTAGGGAAAAGGAGACCCTGGGCCCTGCAGAAATTTGGGAGATGAGGAGCAGAGCCAGTGAGAGAGCAGAAACCAAGGGAATGTGATGTCCTGGAGCTGAGGAGAAGGTTTCAAAGAGCTAGAATGACCACATGCTAGTGATCAAGCTTCCCTTGACCCCAAATCATCTCCAGTGGACTTAGGATCAAGTAGGGTGGCATTTTCTGCATATAAACTAGAGTTTCAATCTGAATTTATGTCTTATGAACCAATCCTCCATCTTCTAGGCATCAGTGGCCTTTTGAGGATCCTTATGAATGCTGTGGACCTTCCCTCAGAAAAATGCATTTGGAAACCCACAAGACTACAGGGAGTTGCTGGGGGTTCCCAGAGTCAGTAAAGTCTACCCCACAAGTCAGGTTTATAAACAAACCTTCCCCATCCCCGAAGAGGTCTTCTGGCGGCAAACTGTCAATGTAGAAATTCAGGTAGACTAAAACTGAATGGGTGGGCTCCAGTCTGAAAGCAACAGTGATGACAGAGAACTCACCACAACCTCCTGGATGTGAAACATCTCTGCACCTCCAGGTGACAGTCGACTGGGGAAAGAGATGCTGACAGATGAGCCGGGAAGGGTGCTTGGCCCGGTGTTATAGACCTGCGGGTGTGAGGCACACACAGCAAGTGTCAGTGGAAATTCAGATCTTCATTTCATGTCCTGCAAAGTGTGCTCTAAAATTCTTCGATGCACTGAGACTCCAGGGCTTGGGATCAAGAAGGGCATGACTTGAAGTATCAAATGATGGGAGAGTCCAATGAAATAAAAACCTAATACGCATTGGAAAAAAACCCCAAACCTTCAAATGACATTCTCTTCTGGCATTTTCATGTCTGCTTCCTGCTAAAAATTATATTTTTTATATGCCTAGAAATTTACTCAAAGACAATTTCACTTGGTGGGAATTCAGACATAATCTAGTCCAGTGGTTCTCAAACTTTAGCATATATCAGAAGAGCCAGACAGGCTCTTGTTAAAACAGATTTGGGGGAGGTATAGGTCTGGCAGGGAGGTAGTAGGGCTGAGGGATTTGCATTCTAGTAAGTTCCCAGGAGACGCTGATGCTATTGGCCCAGAAAACGTACTTTGAGAACCTCTGATCTAGTTCAACCCCTTTTCTTTTATGTTAGAGGTAACTGAAACCCTCACAGATAAAGTGGGTTACCCCAAAATCAAGTTAGATAGCTTACAGAAAGGGTTGCTTTTACTACACTATCCAGCTGATTTGGTTTCTCTGCAACTTGTAGCTGAACACTTGCTAATATTGTTCCATGACATCTGTACACCTCTTTTCTGTCCCAGCATTTGGTCCTGTATAACTTTATCATCTTATTCCCCACATTTCCAGGACTTTCTGTCTCCAGTGGCTCATTATCTCCTGAGGAATGAGAGAGAAGATGGCAACCACTGAGAAGCCAATCAGAGAAGGAGATGAAAAGCTGAGCATGGAACTCAAAGAAGAAATGGGTTGTGAAGGAGAATAGAAAGATGGGTTAGTGTACAGAGACAGAATGTAGATTAATGGTTGCTTCAGGCTGGGGTAGCAGGAATGGGGAGTGTGATGGGCAGAATGGCTTCCCAAAGATGTCCATGTCCTAATCCGCGGAAGCTGTGATACACTGTTACCTGGCAAAGGGAAATTAAGATTGCTAATCAGCTGACCTTAAAGAGACTGTCTTGGATTACCCAGGTGGGTGCACTGTGATCACGAGGGTCCTTTAACAGGGAAGAGGGCAACAAAGAGCCAGAATCAGGGAGATGTACTGCAAGAATGACTCAGCTGGCCATTGCTGGCTTTGAAGATGAAGGGGGCCATGAGCCAAAGATCGTAGCCCCCTGTAGGATCTGGAAAAGGCAAGAAAATAGACTCTCCCCTTGAGCCTCCAGAAGGGACTGCGGCCCTGCCCACACTCTCATTTTAGCCAGTGAGACCTACTTTGGACTTCTGACCCCCAGAATCATAAGAAAATAAATTGTGTTCTTTTAAGCCACTAAGATGGTGGCAACTTGTTAGAGTAGCAACAGGAAACAGGTACTGGGAATGACTGTAGGTCTGAGTTACTTTTTTGGGTGATGAGAATGTTTTAAACTTAGATTGTGGCCATGGCTGCACAATTTACCTGACACCACTGAATTGTATACTTTAATAGGTGAACTTTAAAGTGTATGCAAATGATATCTCAATAAAGATGTTATTCTTTAAAAAAAAAAAAGGATCTGAGCAAGACAGAGGAAGAGAGAACTGCTGCCCAGTGGCCTAGAGATGAGAAAGAATTCAGGGATTTGAGGCACCTCTGGGGCTGAGGTCAGAAGGGCAGGGCCAGGAGGCGGACAGGGAATCCAACCCGATCTGCAGAGGACAAAACGTGTAAGGGTCTAGCTCCAGCCAGCAGTTTCTTGGAAAACTGTGCCTTCGATTTTTTGCAGTAGTTGGTTCTGCTTCAAAGAACACACAAACAATGAATAGAGCGAAAGAAGGATTCCTGCCAACTCTTGATTGAATAAGAACAAAATTCACCAAAGACAACAACCGGTCAGACACAAGAAAAGGACGGAATATCTAGCCACAACTGAAACCACCATTTGAAGTGAAACGTGAGAGCACATAATTGAAAAGAAATCCTATTTAAAGGTGTGTGGGGGAAGGAAAGAAGGAAATGATTTTGATTTCCATGACTTATCAGAGCCAGATGGACGGGAGAGCTTGTTTTACCTTATTTATTTATTTTTAACTAATGGCTTAACATTTGATTCTCTGCAAATGTTCTTGTGCAACATCTGCATTATTTTTCATTATTATATTTCAGGTGAGGGGAAATGGTTGATTGTTGGCCCCCCCCAAAAAAGAAAGACAGCCTAGCCTTTTAATGGTCAAAAACAATTATTTATGTCTCTGTTAAGAAAATTTTGCTGAAATGTAAAAACCAGGCCCAAAACTAGTATTTCTGCATTTCAACTATCTGCATCTGCAGTCTTTAGACAATTATGTTGCTTTTTGAATAATAGCTTTTAAAAGACACAGAAAAATTGCTTTATATGGAGAGCCTGGTGCTTTTCTTCAGGGATGATGTTGTCAATATAAGGAGACAAAGAGGGTTTTGTCCGCACTCCTGACTCCATCCTCCCCACCGTCTCCACCTCTTCACCTCTTGGTCATTATCACCATCAACGTGGTCAGTGGGCTTCCTGTAGGACGGTCATAATAATGACCATTATACCAGAAAATGAGGCACTGGAGAATTCTCAAGGAAGCTGTCAGCTTTGCTAATGCTGGAGGATCTCCTTGTAATCAGTGACACACTATCCACCTTTCAAACCCCGCCACCTCTCTTAATCCTGCACAGAACGCTGTACTTCCTCAGGTAAATGATAATCAGGAGGTGCGCCTGCGGGGCGTGCCTTCACTCACTCCCGCCCTGTTATGGAGCCCGCATCCTGTATCAAATGATATCTCAATAAAGATGTTATTCTTTAAAAAAAAAAAGGAGACAGCTCTTTGCCTGAATAAATACCAAACTTTAAGCTCCCCGCACAATGCCTTGCAAGAGACACCACTGATCACATGCCCCGAACTTTCTTCCCTGATTTCTTTGCTTTCCTTCTTTTCTTTCTCTCTTTTGATAAGAACACTTTAGTATCTTTTACATAGCTTGCTATTCCTTTTGCCTTCTTCTTGTAACACCTACACCCTCTTCATTACACAGAGAGTATCATTTGAGCCCTCTAATTTTCTTGACTGTAGCTTTTATTGTAAAATACCTCCAACTATAAGAGTAGGTTGTAATTAAAACTAAAGTGATTTAAGTAAGATGAAATAACTATCTGATCTTTATCTGTTTTCTATTCAATGATAAAAAGCAATGGAGAAAAATTAACTAAGTCTGAGAAGCAATTCAGAAACACAGAGGTCCTATTCACAGCCATCCTGCTAAGGTCTCAAAGCAAGTCGGCCCCAGCTCCCCCTTCTTCCCTGTAAATCAGCATGGGGTGTGAC